ACCAGTTTATAAATGGCAAGATGAGAAAGAGCAAATTGGCTGACTTGCATGGGTTCCATGCAACGCTGATGGTGGTGAGAGATATCACACAGAGGATGCTGAGGAATGTGAGCTCAATTGGAGGCTGTGAGAGTGGAAGGAGTGGCCGACTCAGGAGCGTAACTCAATATCAAGCCATAAGCATGAGTGAGCTGTGGTGACCGAAGCCATTGCTGGCCTGGTCCAATGAGTTGTTCTCTTTCCTTTTCTACCTCAAGGGTCTGGCATGCACCACACAGGGTGGCGTAGGAGATGCCCCTAGCATTGTTACTTGGGGTAGTGTGGAAAGTTCTACATAGAGAGTCAGGAAGACGTCTTTCCCCTGCCTTTCCCCCGCCTTTCCCCCTTCCTCATGCCTCCGGATGCCACGGCTTGGGTCCCCATCCAGCAAGGAAGTAGACAGTTGAAGAAATGGCCCTGGAATGACTTTAACAAAAGGAAAAGGGGAAGCTTGGGGGACCCATAAGTGAGTGGGAAGGAGAAAAAGAGAAAAGAGGTCCAGGAAGGAAGGCATTTTTCTCTGGTGACTGTGAGGGTGGCCACCTGGGCAGAGCACATTGGTGAGAGAAATGGGAGGAAACCCAGTGGAAGGAAGCTGCCCCTGGGGTCTCTTAATGGAATGGGACTCACACCAGAAACAAAGGACCCTCGATACAGTCTCTGGCCTCTGAGTGTATGAAGCATTGGCTCACACTTAGGGTGTTTGTGATAAAGGCTATCAAACCCTACCCTTACACAGTCAAGGTTTAGAGCCAGGGTCTGCACGAATATTACAACTTTAGATAAATATTTCCAAAGGTCTAGGGGCTTCTGGGTACTGTATGTGACTTAAGGGGAACAAGGTCATCTGTGATTCCAGTGACTTGCTTAGCCCCAGAGGTCACAGACTGTCAGTACATCTGACCCTCAAACATGTTTTGATGTCACACAAAGTTTTTAAGTTATTGAAAATTTTTGTATTTAAAAACAAGTATTAGGAGCTTTAAAAAAATCATTGAATGATCTGGAAACACTAGGCCTGTATCCTTTGCAAGACACATCTGGAGCTGGCTCCTTCCCTTCCTTTCTCCCCCTCTCCTCCTCCGATTCGCAAGCCTTTTTAGAGTACCTGCTTTTATAAAAAAAAAAAAAAAATGAAAGATGGATAAAATACGACCTAAGCGGGGTCTGACTGTTCCCGCATATACTTGTGTTCAGGTTCTCCTTGCGTCAGACTTGGCCAAAGGCCGAGATAAGATCTGGAACTTGGATTAGATTCTGCATTCTCTGAGTCATCTTGCTTTTCCAATGCCATTAGTTTGGTCATCTGTCAGAACTGTCAAATAATTTGTCTTCCAAATGGGCTATTCTTCTGAATCTCATTCAGAAGCTGCAGCGCTAGACGGCTGTGCCGGTTAATCTGCTGTGTCTCACCTTCAAAACCAGCTTTTCTTTTCTCCGCTTTGTGATTCTGCGTCAAGACCCCCCAGACTAGTTCTGCCTTGCCAGCTGCTTTCTGCCAAATGTGAGCACCAGGGGAGAGGGGAGATGGGCGCGGGGAGAAGGGTCTGCTCCTTTCCATTTTTCTTGCGGTTCCTGCCAGCCTGGCCGCTGGCACTTCCCCTGGCGGCAACAGTTGGGGAGTTTCCAACCCCTTTCCACACTCACAGAGTCTCAAACAGGTACGGCGCAACTCCTCAGGGTTGAGACCCAGTGCTCTGGGGCCTCCCCTCAAGCTTCTAAGTTCTGGTAAAGCCAAACTCTTGTCTGTTCCCCAAGCCCTAGAGATGGAGCTGCTTTCTGAAATTACCATCTCTGAGATACCTCAGGGTCTCCTTTTTGTGTTTTCAGTCCTCCGACACCTGTTTAACCAATTCCCTATAGCTCAAACTTGAGCTTGCATGAGAATCACCTGAAGGGCTTGTTGGAACACAGGTGGCTGAGCACCACCCCAGAGTTTCTGATTCAGCAGGTCCGGAGTGGGGCCTGAGACTTCAGTTTTCTATCAAGTTCCCAAATGATGCAAATGCTACTCGTCTGAGGACTCCACTTTGAGAACCGCTGACATACATTATGTTCCCTTTGTTAAGATAGTGTGTATTTTGTTTTCTGGCTGGATCCTGATTGATTCAATGGTCATCACTAAAATGGCATACCACCCAGATCCACCAGTTTGGTTTTGGATGTTTGGGGGTTGGGGGGGAGTAATTCCAACACCCCTTCCTAACCTAGACTTTCACATGAGATTGAGTCACTCTCATGATCTGTCTGTCCATACCCTGAGCCTGTGCTCTTACTCTTCTTCCCTGATTTCAAAGCCCTTGGCTTTCTTTATGATATTCTGTCCTATTCATTGCTGGCTCATGTCCTACCGCCTCGATGGGCCTGCTCTGCTAACTCCACCCCAGTTGAATTCTGATTTCTCTAACCTGTTCTGTCTAGGTGACCAAGTTAACATCTCCTTCCTGGACTTGCTTTCTCAAGTCAACAAATACATATTGAATTGTTTACTGTGTGCAGACCTTCATGCTGGATGCTTTTGCCAAAGATACAAAGACAAGAAAGACTTAGACTCTGCTCTCATAGGATAAAGAAAATATTTGCAGAATTCCCGCTAGAGAGAGACCTACTTTGGTTGGGAGAATAATTTGATTAGCAAGATGCGAATGGGGTAAGACCCTAAGCAATGTGTGCAAATAACAATTAATAGAGGCTGCAAGTCTTTGAAGATGAGTGAGTCCCTGTTAAATACAGGGCTTTGTTTTATAGAGCAGGATCTGTGCAAATTTGTGGTTGGAGTTGAATTGTGTTGGAGAAGGGAGTAGTGTCAAGAGCAAGAAGGAACCTCATGCCTGGTATCTGGTGACCGGCAGCTAAAAGGGCACAACTTCAGGGGAAAAAAGAAACAGTGGAATAGAGGTTTTTATTACATTGTTTTCTGGTGTGAGTTGTAATCTCTCTCATCTCTCACTGAAATCATCAATAAAATTATTTACTTCTCAGGAATATGACAAAGTGTGGAATCTTTGGGGCAAAATCAGAGAGCTCCTATAGAAAAAACTACTCTATAAGAGTTATGTATTTTTCATTTTCTCATCTTTCTCCTCCTCCTTGAAAACATATTGTAAATACCCTTTGTCACTGACTGGATTTTATATTCTTTTCCATCAGCCCTGGCTATTGAGTGGCACATGTTTATTGATGAACAAATTTCTGGGTTTAGAGTTTATCCTTGCCTAGATACACCTACCATTAGGCTATACAAAGTACCTACAGGCCTGAACATGGCAACTCATATGTGGATGGAATACTGGCTCTTTATGCTTTTTTGATGGCATTTATTTATTTTTTTGATTATAAATAAATAAAGGCACATTATTAAACATTTAGAAATATTGATAAGTATGAGCAAAAATAAAAATCACTTACAATTTCATTGTTCAGAGATAACCAACAGACTGGAGTCTCTATCTGTCTGTTGAATATATTTCCTCCCTATATACTTATATTAATATATAGCCTCCATACATATACATGTTGATAGAGTATATATTAAAATACATAATATGTATTTTAGATGTATATTCTCAATATTTTATACACATAATAAAATTAGGTTCATAATATTTATAAAAGCTTACATACTGCTTTTTTCCACTTAAAACTTTGGGACAAGCATTTATCATCTTGATTATATCTTCAGAAATATAATTTGGTGTCAGCATCATAGTTATTCATATAGACTACCATAATATATTTATTGAATTCCCTATTGTTGGATAGTTATGCTATTTCTCTACTTTTTATTTGTCATATATAATACTACAGTGAACATTTCTGTATATATATTGTCACTTTATATTTCAGTAGACCATCTTTTGACATATTGAAAAGCACACTTGTCTTCTCAGGTAAAATTTTGTACTTACCTGAAATGAAGCTCAAAAGATACAACCCTAGTGGACCATGCAGAGTCTCAAAGGGTTTGCCGAAAGCATTGTACATGAAGAAGGCTGTCCCCACCATGGTTAAAACAATAAGGATCGTGGAGAAGAGGATGACATTGACGTGGATGCTCACTGGGATTGCTTTGAGCAAATCTGGGAAAACTAAAGACAAAACAAAACAAGAATTAGAAGAAATTTCATTAGCAGTAGTCTGCAAGTATAATTTTAAAAGTTAGATCCCTCCTTTTTAAATTTCAAACATCACTAAAATCCTTCCGACATTCTAACTAATTGACAAGGAGTTTATAAAAAGGCTTAAAGACAGGATCATTTCATAGAATTCACCAGTAAAAATTAGCAAAGAGAAGATTTGATGGAATTTTTTTTTCTACCCTTGGTCATATATAATTATTTAAATAAACAAATGCTGGCTTTATAAACCAAAATTGTACATTTTGATGGCTAAACTCAAATAACATTTCTCAGTAGTCACTTTTTAAATCTATCTTAACTTGTAATGATATTTTAAGTTTGGGGATATCTGGGGAAGTTCAAATATCAGGAGGTTTTTATTTACCTTGTTACCAAAAAAAAAAAAACAACACATGGTTTCTAGTCCACACCAAGATTAAAGAATGGAGTATTTTCAGTCAACTTCAATATTTTGATGTAGCACAAAGTTGTGAGAAAATAATTTCTGGTGCTATGAGAAGTATTTTCCATTTAGAAAACACACCAAATCTATTTCTAGATTTTGTGTTCAGGGCAAGTTTTTCTTGTTTGCAGAGGAAATGAAATACTTTATAAATGTAGGGTTTCTCTTACAGGGTGAGACATCAGCATGCTTGGCATCAGCAAACCGAGCAGGACCAATCTGGGGAGGTTTAGTTCAGTCTATTTTAGCTTCTCAAACATTTATCAAGTGCTTAATTTATTTATCGAGCACCTACTATGTGCCAGGCATCATTCTGGGTGCCGAAAGTAGCACCATAAAACAAAATAGACAAGGTCCCTGTTGTCTCACGGAGCTTAGAACCTAATGGGAGTGAACAAATAAATGTGATCGCTTATCTCCAAAGATGGTCACTATCAGTGCCTCCCCTGCTTTGACACATGTGTCACCTCCCCTTTTAAGAGGTAGAATTTTTTCCTCGGTCTTCTTGAGCTTGGACTGGTCTATGACTGCTTCGGCCTCCTGAATATGGCAGCAAAAGTGCATTGTGCCAGTTCCAGGCATATCCTGTGAGAGAACCAGCAGTTTCTGCTTTTTTTCTCTTAGAGGCGTGAGCTGCCACGCAAGAAGTCCAGGCCACTCTGCTGGAGAGGGAGGCTGCCCGGAAGAGCACTGAGGCTCCAGGTATGTGAGGGAAAGGGTTGTCCTGGATGTCAAGCCCAGAAAAGGCACCAGATGACGCCTACCCAGCTGGCTATGTAACTGCAACAGCAGCAGAGACTCAATCAAGAACTGTCCAGTTCAATTAACAAACTTTTGTTTTAAGCCCCTGAACACTGGGGAGGGCTGTTAAGCAGTGGTAACAAGAAGATACTTTGAGATAGTGGTAAATGCTATGGAGAAATAAAATAGGGTAATGAGATTTTGAGTGATCAGATGAGTGGAAGGGGGCGGTCAGGAAACTGACCCTTGAACCGACAGCTACCTGAACATGGAGAAGGAAGTCATCCCATAAAGATTTAGGGGAAGAGCTTTCCAAGGAAAAGAAGCACAGCTGAGGCGGGAATTAGCCCGTGTGGTGGAGCCTGGCAGATGACGGGCGGGTGGAAGTGGGACTGTTACACAGGATCAGATTGTTGTACTCATAGATCCTGGTCTGTTGACCGTGGCAAGAGGTTTGCTTTTCATTCTAAATTCATTTGGAAGCCACTGGAAGGTTTTAAGTAGAAAAGTGACACAGTCTCCTTCATGAGGTTAAAAGATCACTCTGGCTGATGAGTGGTGACCACAGGAATAGGGAAGGACAAATGTCCCTGTCCTTCCCAGGGAGATCTGGGAAGGCTATTTATAGAGGTGAAAGAGGGGGCAGGCCTAAGGTGGTGAGAGGTTGTCATATCTGGGATACATTTTGGAGACAGAAGATAGGACTTGTCAAAAAAGAAGAATCAAGGATTACTCCTAAATTTTCTTCCAAGCAACTGAATGAATGGTGATGCTGTTAACTGAGATAGAGAAATAGAAGAGAGAGGTTTGGGTACCGGGTGGGGAGTGATGCAAGGGCTCTGTTTTAGATATTGTAAGTTCGAGTTGCCTGTAAGACCTCCAAGTAGAGATGTCAAACAGGATTTATGTTTCTGGAGGTTTCTGGAGGTCTTCAGGGAGAAGACTGGATGTTTAACAGGACCTAGACGAGGGTGAAGTGAGGCAAGGAGGTGCCTCGGGTGTAAAACGTAAGGAGGCAGTCACACTCACGGCCCACTCTGCGCCTGGATGAGTCTGGGAGTAAATGTCTCCTAGATTTTATGTGCTGGGTGCCTCAGTGGCCTCACTCTAGTCATGGCTCTGGTATCGAAACCCATGGAAATGGATGTAACCCATGGGGAAGATGTGTTTAGAGGAGACAAGAACCTGGAAAGAGCCCTGGCGCTCCCCTGTCTACTAAAACAGAAGGGGAGAGAAGCCAGCCAAGGAGACTGGGAAAAGAGCAGCTTGTGAGTTAAGAGCAAATCCATGAGAGAAACAGCAGGGAAGCCAATGGGGAAAATGTTTCATGGAGGAGGTGGTGGGCAGCTGTACAAACATACGTCTCATGGTAACAATGCTCTACCTCGACCACGTGCCAGAGAGGGACCTGGTGAGAATGTCGGATTGGTTCCGAACAAACCTTCGCCACCGCTGAATATAATTAATTAACTACACGTGTACACACGTGGCGTACACTTAGTGCTATAGGATCGGGAGCCTCCTCTTTATAAATACAAAGATGTTTGATCCTGAGGGTATTCACCACAGTGTCTCACTCAGGAGTCGTGGCTAGGTCATTTGACTGCAGAGGTTTAATAGCATTACATTTCCTTTATCTTCAAATAGTAAGAGAAATGCACGCTAAAACTATGAATTACCATTTTCTAAAAATCATGTTTACAAAGATGAAAACATTTAGCAATATCCTGTGTTAGCTAGGGTGTAGGGAAATGGGGACCCTTGTGCATTTTTCTTGGGAGTGTAAATTGGTATAACTTCCTTCAAGGCAGTTGTGCAATAAATATCTATAAAGTATTAAAATGTACATACCCTTTAGCTCAGCAATTTCACTTCCAGGAGTTTATCCTGTGAATATTTTTGCACATGAATCCAATAAAGTATTACAAGTATATTCATTGTAGCATTTTTTGGTAATAAC